AATGGCAATTACCTCGTTGCTGTATCGTCCATTGTATCCTCCAAAAGAGATGAGATAATCATAACCACTGTAATTGCTATGCACTAAAGTCATGCCCTAGAAATACCAAATTTCAAATATTAGCAGCCAAGAAAAATCATCTTAATCACTGAATGCTGCTCAAGAGATATACCTCACTGGCAAGGGGAACACGTCCTTCCACAGTGCTAACAACTGACCATGTTAGAGTTGACATGTTAAGCACAAGTGTTTCAGAAACACCTGTAGAGGCGAGTGTATTAGTTATGCTTGACATAAAAATGCAAAGAAAAATATCATGGGCCACTGTGTGGGTATGTTGAGATTGGGTGGAATCCCAACACATCCAAACAAGGTCTCATTGGTACAAGCTCTCAGGAGGCAAAATGTACTAGTAACATGTCCACACAAATTGAACTCCACAATGACCACACAGTAGTTATCAACAAGCATGTTAACATAATAGGTTAAGACATCTTACCACTTTTATTATTGCCACCCCCAACTATGTACCAGTTCTCACCAACAGTTGCACCTGCATGGCCAGCTCTTGGGCTTGGAGTCAGACCTTGTTGTTTGGGTCTTGACCACTCCATCTGTAATTTCCAACAAAAAAAATTTAGTAGTCAAAGATAGCACAAAAAACCTTGGAGTTCCAGAAAGAAAAAAGTTTGTACCGTCTGCAAATCAAGGACATGTAGGTCATTGAAACATGTTGCATGAGACCCCCCACCAAAAATTAAAAGATAGCGGTCAGCATGGCAAGCAGCAGCATGATCTGACCTTGGAGAAGGAGGAGTGCCTCTAAAACACAAAACCAACATCGCGATGAGCTAAATTCAAAATACAATGTTCAGCTTAAAAAAAGATCACTCTGTTTTCAGAACATGTGCATAAACTGACCTAATGCGATTATGCCACATAATGGAAGTTTAGAAACATGCTCCCTTTTACTATGACAATATGTTTAAGGCTTTTATGCTATCAATATTCGTTTCCCCTTTTGTGCTAGTATATAAAAGCTAGTTAATACTTCCATCGGTCAAGAATCGATCGAGTCAAACTGCAAAACTCCATAGCAGCAAAGTGGTGCAAACTATGTTGAAGAGAAATTACTGAGAAGTGTTAACCTAAGATTTCCTAGTCCTAGATGGTCAGAAAAGCATCTCATTAACCAAAGAAAGCTTCTTAACTCTACCATATATGTGTGACAGTTAACATGCATCCCAATTATGTTGGGGACCAGTTCAAAGTAATATTTTAAGCATACATAGCAAAGATACATGAAAGCTAGCTAACACGTTTTCTTCTTCTCACTAGGTGAACAACTGTGCATTAAAGGGCCATCAAGGTTGCTGTACTTACATTGCATCCACATCATCCCATGTCATGGTTTCAAGATCAAGGATGTGCAAGTCATTCAAGAGACACCGTTTTGCATCTTCACCACCAAACAAAACTAGTGTCGTTCCAACAAGAGTCACTGTTTGACCTCCACGTGAAACCTGCAGCAGATGAAACTTATATAAGCAAATGCACTTTCCTGCATATAACTGGGTAACTAATACCAAAGCAATTGAGCAATGTTATGTGGCACAATTTCTTTATTAGTCATTTCAAAATACAGACTCTAAGATAAAATCAAGTACAGATAGAACTATAGAAGAAACCATCTGAGTAAGTGCACCAAAACAAAGATGTACATGCTCAAACATAAGATTAGCGGAACAAAAGAAATCATAACAAGAACTGGCCCTCTTAGTTCAGAGTTACAATAACCGATTGAAGAAAAATGATTACCGGTGGTTTCCCGTAAGTCTTGACAATCGACCAGGTACAAGTATGCGGATCAAATTCCTTCACTAGAGTAAAACCACCAGAAACAACAGCAGAACAAATTAATGTATGACATAATAAGTAGAAGAGGTACCAAAATAGATTAAAACTGATTTTATCAAACCTGTAATGCCTTCAGATGGATCTTTTGTATGCCCGGCAATAGATAAAAATTTGTTGCCCCATGAAATCTACAAAATGGTACAGAATAAAAAGGCAACTGCCATTAACTACTGGATTCAAGATAAATGACTATGCAACAGTTGTGCAGAAGTTTACCAAAGAATGACCAGCACATGGAGCAATTTGTGTGGTTTTAGTGGAATCAGCAGATTCTGCTTGCAATTTGGCATCAACCTTGGACCAGGTCAAACTCTTCAGATCCAAAGCCTATTTTGGTATAAATTACGAAAAAGAAAAATCATTCATTAGATCAACAATATTTCATGCTGACCTGCTTTCAGGTGACATTTGAATTGCCAGTGCATTTAAACGAATTTGTTTTCCCTTCCCTTGAAACTCCTCTTTCTCACTCCTAATATTATCTTAACAATTTTGGCTAAATAATTAAAATGCAGGAAATATCCAAAATACATAGATTTGTTTGCAATATTCTGGGGAAATAGCAGTTATCTCTTTGCATAAGAGTCCAATAGCCCAACTTTGGCATAAGGAAACACATTGAAGACTCAAATTGTGGCAAGAAACACACTTTGACACCACACTAATATAAGGAAAAGGTCAAGGTTAAGGATCATGAACACAAATGGACGATTAACCCAGACAGTGTATGCAATAAGGCAGTCTGTTTAAAGATGGTTTGATCAAAAGCAGTAGAACAGCATATGCTTACAGAGTCACATGCTTCCAAGTCATAGCTAACACTAATAACTTAGGATGCATACATATGGTGTTAGGGATTGTTTTATTCAACTTCACGTACCTGAAGGTCACTAAGGTAACGTCCATTATGGTTTCCACCAAATATATACATCTTATTTTGCAAAACAGTTGCTCCATGCTACAGAAACCAAACTTCTCATTAGTGCTACAAAAGTAAATAGAGAAAAACGATGGAAGAGGAATGAAGTATCTGGTGCACCTCATAACGAGGCTTCGGACGGAGACCACTGACAGATAATGGAGTCCACTCATCATGAGAACTAACAGTACTAAGGCCTTCCAGAATAACATCTTTGTCCTGAGTCTCCACAGAACTTCCATTTTCAGAAATGATTTTTGGTTCTGGAATTGATGTTCCATTTGTTGAAGCCGGTACACTCTGTGGCTCAAATCTTTTGGTTTCTAACAAAAAGAAACACAGATGGATAATTTGATAAACCTGCTAAGAAAAAAAACTAGAGAACTAGACATTGGGACGGTGCACTATATGATAAGACCAACAGTGTCAAGTTCTCTATGTTTTTGTCTAGAAAAAAGAAGGAACAATAGCGTGACTTACATGCATCTGAATATCTACAACAGGCTCAGGGTTGAACTCAGGGACCCTAGAGTACCATCCAGGATCTTCTTCCTGCCAGAATACCAATACATCTATCAAATCTATTTGCACAGCCCCAACTTGCTTGGGACTAAAAGTCTTTATTGTTATTGCACACACTGAACAATATCATGTAATTATTCATACCTCTAAGATTTTGACAAAAGGCGCGATCGCCTCCGCTGAAGGCATGCTTCCAAGCCCATGCCAGCTAAAAACACAAAATGATATAATCGATAAGTATCGTTTTCAGAATACACACTTCAACGTACAGTATTTATTTTCTGGGTATTTCCCACTATCAGCCCTCCAGGCTAACTATCCATAATCTAAATTACATGAGTATCATGGTTATTGCAGCATAAGCATCTCATTTTCTATCTTCTGGCTGGGGACCAAATCACATTTCAAATTTGGGTTAATCAATAAAATAAGCCGACAGTACATGAGAATGAACTACTCAACTCGCTGCTAGCGTGTAGACGCAATTCAAGTTTTAAGAAAAACACTGAGGTTTCACTTTTTCATCATTGATAAAGAAGAACCTGCACAGAAGTTGGATTGTACTGTGACTGTGGCAACGTGAAGTTTGAGTGCAGTTTCTAGTGGTACTAACCTCGTCCATTTGCTCTGCTCCACGGGGTTCCACGCTCTTGGCTTGGGCACATTGCATGGCCCAACCGTGGCCTGGATCAAAACGAAACCCAAAATCACCAACCGAATTGCGATCATCAACCAAAGCAAATCTCTCCCGAGGGACGAAGAAGAGCAACACAATTTAATCACAACCAACACAAATTCAGCCTATCTCACGCTGGATCCACGCAATTTCACCCCCACACCCGAATTAATCGCCAAAATGATCAAAAACAACGTCCGACGCGTCACCTGCTGATGCAGGCCGTAGAGGAGGAGGGCGACGTCGTTCTGGAAGCGAGAGATAGCTGCGGAGGAGGTGGCCCCGCCGGCTCCGAACCCAGCGTAGGCCGCGGCGGCGTAGAAGCGGTCAGGGTAGGCGAGTCCGGAGCTCGCCATGGCCGGCGCTGCGCCCTAGATCTCCGCCCGGATCTCGCCTGCGCACCGGGCAACCGGCGCGAGACGGCGGGTAGGGTTTACTCCTCCGCCGGACCGCAGCTCTTCTTCTTCTTCGCCGTCGTGCTGGAAATGGAAATCTGCAGAGTGAACTCGCGCCGAGATCTGGAGGGAGGGAGACGGCGAGCCGACGCTGGCCTCGTTCCTACGCGGGCGACGCTTTTAACGCTCCCCGCCGAGGTGGCCGTAGAATGGAAGGGAGACACGGAGGCAGATGCTGACGGGACCCGCCACGTGTCAGTGACAGGTGGGCCTGAGTCGGGCCCAGTGATGTGGTAATAGAGTCGCGCGTGTGTCTCCGGCCCGGTCGTGGTCGTTTCGTTTGGGCAGGCCGTGCGTTGTTTCCGTCCTCCTGCTCTGATTTCTCTGCTTCGTCCGATCCCCTCCTCCACCTGCCAGACTCCCCGCCGTCCACCGCTCGCCGCCCCCGGCCGCCATCCAGTCGCCGGTGCAGCCGTGCAGCACCCATCCTTTGGAACTGTGTCCAGCTGCTTTGCGAAACGAGGCGCGTATACTGGGGAGCTGGAGCGAGGACGAGGAGACGAGGGAAAGGATGCAGCAGCTGCAACCGAAGCAGATGCACTGGGTGAGGGCCGACTCCTCCGACTTCGGGGGCGACCGCCCCGCCCCCCGCAGGTATCCATCCAGCTCCTCCTCGCCGCCGCCGTCTCGATCCCCCCCTGGAGTCTCACCCTACCCCTCTAACGAAGTAACAACCTCACGATTTTGCAATTTCGTGCAGCGGGCACACTGCGGTGAGCATTGGCAAGTCCAAGGTGGTCGTCTTCGGCGGATTCGCCGACAAGCGCTTCCTCGCTGACGTATCCGTCTACGACGTCGGTAATCTAATCCCTCTCCAATTCTCCGACGGTTCGCTTGTTGTGCCAAATTTGCCTGCCGACCTCTGTGGGCAATTTTGCACACGCAGCAACTCATCTTAAGGGTTATTAGATTGAGGGACGTAGATGGCATTTACATGATTGCGATTTTTATGGATGGAGCATATGCATTGGAACTTTGGAAGGAAGAAAGAGCTTGTCCTTACAAACTTCTGAATTCAACTTATGTTGCAGAGAATAAGCTGTGGTACACACCTGAGTGCACTGGTAATGGGTCGGATGGGCAGGCCGGCCCAAGCCCAAGGGCTTTTCACATAGCTGTTGTCATTGGCTGCAACATGTTCATCTTTGGTGGCCGTTCTGGGGGCAAGCGGTATGCGGTCCACATAGCTTATCTAGCAGAATTTGGAAGCTTAGCATAAATAGTTTCCTATATGTTACTAACGATGTGGTCTTTATCTTACAGCTTAGGTGATTTCTGGATGCTAGACACCAGTAAGCCTCTATGTTTCATCAAATTGTCAAGATCCCCTTCTCTGGTTCTGTGTACACTTATTCTAGGGGTTGCTGCTACATTCATGATACTGATGTACATTCAGACTTATGGCAATGGTCGGAGATGATTGGCTTTGGTGATTTGCCGTCACCACGAGAGTTTGCTGCTGCTTCAGCCATAGGAAACAGAAAGATTGTTATGTAAGCATTATTTGATATGCACACCCCTGTCGTACGTTCTGTTTTTTTTTTTTGAGAATTGACGCTCACAACACGCATGCACACTCACCCCAATGAACACACGCACGCAAACCCTATCCCTATGAGCACCTCCAAAGGACTGAGCCGGCAGATCTCGAGATTCACGAAGTCACCACAAGCGCCTCGCTGTCGACGGGGACGTCGTCTACCACTGAAAGCATAGCGCCGTTAAATCCTGGAATAAATCTAGGAAAATGCGAGCACTCATGCCAAGTCGAGGACTTGAACCCGAGTGGGCAGGTTCCACCACAAGGAGCCTAACCAACTGATCTATGATCAGTTTTGAAGAACATTCTATCTTTATTCAGGTATGGTGGATGGGATGGCAAAAGGTGGCTTTCAGATGTATACATCATGGACACAAGTAAGCAAACTGCTTCTTTATCCAATCACTGCATTTTTTCTTGAAGATGGCAAGGAAAACGTAGAGCGCTGATTTTTTGCATTCTCTATTGTATAGTGTCACTGGAGTGGACAGAATTAGCTGTTACTGTATCTGTGCCTCCTCCAAGATGTGGGCATTCCGCAACCATGATTGAGAAGAGACTGCTTATATTTGGAGGCAGAGGTGATTGTTATTTCTTGATTTTATTTGTGGGTTTCTCAAAGATTGTGTTTTATGATTCCTTTTGTGAAAGTAAATTTTGTTGATTGTTTTAATTTTTTTTGGAAATCTAAAAGCACTAACTAATTATTTTCATAATTGTCTTGTGGAAACCAAGTTATTTTCCTTGTGAGAATTTGTAGTGTGAATGTGTTATGACGGTTTCTACTTTCTAATGACTCTTCAGTTAATTCGTAATCTTTTGGCCATCAACACCCACATTTCCAATCACTTCAAATCTTCTTTGCCACAGGTGGAGCAGGGCCAATAATGGGTGATTTATGGGCTTTAAAGGGTATTACTGAAGAAGGTATCTCCTATTTATTCATATAAAATCTGTTTGAGTTAAAGGAAAGATGCATCCTAAGCCCCATAGTGCTATGTGCAACATATGCGTGGTCAGTTGATGATGGCACCAGTCGAACTAACAGTGCACGTTGAAATAGCCTATTTGAATGATTGTGGATCATGAATTCATGATCAGATGTGGTTTGATGCCTTTTAAAAAAATATATATATTGTAATACTTAAGACAATCCATGGTACATACCCTGCATCTTTCTTGTCCTGTTTGATTGCTCATGCCTTATTGGAAGTCATGTAGTTTAAGATGGCCCATCAGTATTATTTAACCTCTGAGGACAACTAAAATCACCCATTCTATTTGATATATGTTAATACTAGTTGAAAAGTATTATTGTCAACTTTCTTCTGATTTAACTATCTAGCTCATCGTTCATTTGTATTTTAGTTCAGTTAGTCAGAACCTAATTTTGTCTACTTTGGAAGACAATGAGACACCAGGTTGGACACAGTTGAAACTTCCAGGGCAATCTCCCTCACCACGATGCGGTCATTCAGTAACATCTGGTGGACCTTATGTATGTAATTTGATCCCGCCATACTTGCATTTCTTTTTTTGGTCTCTCAGTGCACTAGTATGAAGTATTCAGTAGCTGGTATCTCATATATCATAGTATTTGTAAACGTGGGCCCCATTAGATGTCCATACTAGATATTAACTAATTATCATTGCTATATTGTACAAACCATATGCACCATTGATGTATATTTAGAACTCATTTATGCATTTTGATCTACTATGGACCAGTAGGCACTTTGTTTGAGTCCCAACCCTCTTTCCGATGAGGCCAGGGGTCTATTTCCTGCTATGATCAATGCAATAACAGATAGGCTCCTGGGTATGCCTTCGGTGACAATGCTAAAAAATATTTGTGTTCTGCAGAGTTTCATCCTTAGTTTTAAGATCTGAGGTATCAGTATGTGCAACACATCATTTATTAACTTAGGTTGGTGATGGAAGTAAATTTTAGACACAGCTTTAGCAGAGTTTCTTTGTCATTAACTACATAAATGAAAGGGTGTAATCATTTATTTAAAAAATAATTGTCTTTATTGTGTACTGGGAGTCTTTGCAGCCTCAAACTGTTAATCGGCTAGATTATGTTGAATTTCTTCTAAAATTTTTCCATTTAAAGGTCTTGATTGCATGATCGGTTAACTGAAGATGTATAGATCTTTCTTGTCAGCTCTTGCTGTTTGGAGGACATGGAACTGGCGGTTGGCTAAGTAGATATGATGTGTACTACAATGAATGCATTATTTTAGACAGGGGTAAGATGTGATTCTAATTCCTTTTTTTATTTGCATAGGGATTTACTGAATTGGAATGTGTGTCTTTCTTGTGGGTGTAATGCTGCATCTTTTAAAAGGTTTTTTTTGTTTAAGTCCAACAGTTTTATTTCTTCAGTACAAAAATGTTTCCTGCTATTAACATAAGATGTGGTTCCACAAGTAAACTTGTATGACTAACCTTAAGAAGGAAATTGTGATGCTGGCTGATTCTGTGCTGCTTGGGGCATGTTTGTGGTTGCTTTACACTGAGTTGTGCAATATAATTAGTTGATAGAGTCTTTAGTGAACCAGTAAGATTCTTCCAAAAGTAACTGCTATATCCTATAAATGTAATCGCTTTTAAAAAGCCTTGTCAGGCCTACGCAAACCCATTTTTCTCGTGATTAAGATAATGTAGTGTCAACTATGGATCACATACTAATGGCAATCAAGAACACTACCAAAGTTAGTATGTCTTAACTTAATGCACCTTACGTAAGTCTGATTACATCCTAACACTAACCTAGAAGACTAGAAAAGCTAGTTCTGTAGATATGGCTTAAGCAGTCATCATTGATCAAGATATAAAATAAATGTCAGATAAGTCTGTACATTCATTGCTTGGGTTATCTTTGTAGGTAGTTGGAAGGTGTTAAATATGATTGTCAACCACATCCATTATAACCAGCGTTGGAATTAGTTGATGATGCAGCTAGTAGGTATATTATACTTGCTGCACATAATATAGCCTCAAAAGGCCAATCTTGTAACTCCGACTGATCTTACCACTGTCAACTCAATGGCGACTAACTAGGTTATTGTGGATATACTGAACACAATGCTGACAGCTAGTACTATCTCCATGATTCATTGCTTTTGTTTTAATGCTGACCTACCTTTCATGTCACTTACTCAATCAGCACATGTATCTTTGTTGGCTGATACTTCAATCCTTGACAGTGTCTGTTCAATGGAAGCGCCTACCAACAAGCAATGAACCACCTCCTCCTCGGGCATATCATTCCATGACTTCCATAGGGTCTCGATTTCTTTTATTTGGTGGCTTTGATGGAAAGAATACGTTTGGTGATTTGTGGTGGCTTGTTCCTGAAGGTATAGTCATCTCATGCTTATCTGAAAAGGAACACTTCATTCCTATATGCTTGGTATCTTGAGGGCTGCGTAGAGTGTACTGGGATATAAAACACTGCACATAAATTCTTCAATTCATAGTCCTGCAGTCGTACCCTTTAAACTTCCATGCATGGTTCAGTAGTGACAAGTGAGGAGTTTTGTCAATTTCCAAGATCACAAGAAAAAGGAACACATTTGACTAATTGTTTCTATAATTTGCTGCTTTAACTGGATGTATATTAGGAAACTGTACCACTTATGATGCAGGTTCATTTACCAAATAGTATGAAATGAGTTGTTGGTTTTTTATAATGTAAACTTCCCCCTAATGCTCTTGACTTTTTGTCTTTCTCTGTGATGCTTGACGAAGAAAGATCATTTTTCCTTTTCTAAATTGCACCGTATTTTATGTACAGATGATCCTATTGCGAAACGAGACTTAGCTCCTAACATCGATTCAAACAGCAAACCTAGTGCTGTGATTGGTGATAACCAGCAATCCAACTTAAAGGTACACGCTTGCATGTGTGAGAGTTCACTTTGAAAATTTCAGGTGATAGAAAATTCTATAATTTCTAAAATATGTTTTGCAGGAGTCACAGGCTCTGGAGAATCCAATAACAGAATTGGCCAAACGACTGGGGATTCCACTTTCTGAGGAAGTTTCAGCAAGTTTTGTTGACGAAGCCAATGATAAAGAACTTGTGGAATTGTCATCTAGGCTTGCTGGTCAATCGCTTCCAGCTAGTGACCAGGTTGCATCAATTCAGGTGCTTACGCAGTTATGCCTCACTATTAATGTAACTCACCTGTATTTGCTTCTGAGAGAATTTTGGAATTTTGTGTGATGTCAAGGTACTTCGTGATCACTGGAAAAGTTCTCCAGCAAGCTCACTACAATTGCAGAAACTAGGACCTTTGCTGAGGGACTATCAACGTCTCATCCTGCGACGCTATTTGTATAGTTTCACTCTTCAGTCTTCCCTCTGCATCTGTTATTTGCATACTTAATCATCCACTCTTTCACAAATCTAGAAGTTGCTTGTTCAAGGAAAAAAAATCTAGAAGTTGCCTGTTAGAAATTGAATGATTTGTAACAGTTTCTCTTCTGGTCCATGGATTATTCTCTTTTGCGATAGTCTGAATTGCTTGAAATGAATGCATATTTGATGTTTTGGGGGAATAGGAGTAATTGTGAATTTTTACACTACAAAATATTGTGAGTTTGTCTTGTCAATTATACTTTATCATGGCCATGGAACTTACATATTCATGGTTTTGGCCTGTTTGATATCAATAGGCACATAACAGTTCAAAAATAAACTGTGGCATCTCCTGTCAGGTTCTTTCTGGTGGTTAGTTAGAAATTGAGCATGTGCAGATAACTTGGTTGTTGCCGGAGGTTGATATGCCTGAAAATGATCATTCTTCACTATCCAATCATCAACTTCTCCATTAAAGCAAAGTATTTGTTAGCAATATTTCTGCGTCGATCATGATTTCATTTTCTTTTTGCAACAAGTGCAGGGGAAATCCATTGCCAGATTTTCGTGAAATGGAAGCTCTTCGTTTTTTCCATTTGAAAAGTGTTTCACAGGTATGCATAGTAGTGCATACAATCTAGTGGTCCAACACAAACGACCAGCAGTCAATTGAGAATATCTTTACACAATACGATCTCTTCTTTTTCATTCTCCTACTTATCAGTTATCGCTATGTTGTACCTGTGATATGTCACAGTTGCGCATGGATGACATTCCGGTCTTGTTGAGCGAGTATGGAAGGCTGCTTTCCACATGAGATGGCATCTTGCAAGTTGTGCCCTTTTGCTTGGTAGGTGCTTTTGAACATAACCGTTGTGTCAGACTGTTAGAACATCGTTTTCTGCTTGCAGTGCCAAACTGTTTCAGCTTTTGGTCTCATATCATCTTTACTCATTGCTTCAGGTTCTAACAGAACATTGGCTTCATGCAATTTGTGGAGAACTTGCGTGCCTGACAAAAGCACACCCGTGTAGCCATTCCTTGCCATCAGTTAGTCTGTTAGTGCAGGTCATAGTCGCATCAGTGATAGCGCACTGAACTGAATTCCTTTTTCTTTCGAGGACTGGGACGCGCACAATTTCGTGCAGCCTGGCTGGGCGCTGAATGGTCATCAACACGTGGTTAGGCCTAGGCGAGGAGCTGAGGCGGCGTGGCAAGCCGTGCATGGTCGCGTGGAATTCCAAGAAAACGGGGTTTGTGTGAGGTTGGAGCCTGGAGGTCAGCGGCACATGTTTTCGGTTTTCATTCACCTGCACTCCATCTGACCAAAAGGACGCTCCTGTCAATCAATTTCAACTTTAATTAGATTTATAAAAAAGTATGGTATCACTAAATAGTTTTTTTATTAAAATATATATTGTATGATTAATTTAATGATATTGTTAGTATCATAATAAATATTAGTTCTTCTTTGTATATATTTGATCACATTTAAGATTAGTTGACTTTTAAAAAACAGTATGCATATTTTTTTTTAAAGAAAAGTGAAGGGCGACCATGGTGGGATGTGCAGCTGATGTGTGGACCATGGAGCATCTGATGTACCAGCCGTGTGGATAGAATGATAGGGTGGTCCATGTATCAGCTGAACATACCGCACCATGTTCTCGTAGGATGGGTCTCACCGAAATTTTTTTCGACCACTGGCCGCTCCTGCTCAGCAAGTACAATTAGAGCCGCCGGTCGCACATTCAAACGCATGTGCTCGTTGCCGTTGCCCTCGCGTTGTACAGAAAAAAGGGCAGAAAACGCCGTCTTCAGCTTTCCAAACGACACTACTGGACTTTCGTACAAGAACAGCTAGATTCATGCAAGAATTCCGTAAGAAAGCATTATACGGTGTCGCACGATCACGCGTTCTGGCTCTCCCCGTGCATACCTGGCATTTTGTATGCCTTTGGTAACATAATAAGAGTACGTTTGGCAAGGCTTCTATGGGCTCTGGATCCTCTGAACCAGTACTGTAGCATGAGCCTTTTTTCTCTCTCATCCCGATGAGCTCGGAAAAGCCACGTTTTCTAGTTCATTCGGCTTCGGCTCCTTGGTACACTGTAGCATGGAGTCGGAGCAACCCTGGTCTAAGTTCAGTTGAACTAGCTCGGCCAGACTACGGAGTACTGTTTGCAGGTGACGGTTCGTCAGGCCCATGTGAGCGTGGCCCAGTCCTCCCTGTCGCAGGCCCAAGTAGAGCCGGCGTCCGTGCTGGCAGTTCCAGAACCTTCCTCAGATGGGATCGTGAGTCGCAAGCCAAAACTAGAAGAGTCAGCCATGTGTTTTATGCACCACCATATGAATTTTTTTACACTATAAAATTAAGATTCAATAATTTTTATTTTTTTTCTACCTTCAGTCTGTAGCCTCTAAAGATTATAGATCACATATCATAATTTTTTTTCTGAACAAATCATACATCCGTCGGCGCCGGTCACCGGTGAGAAAGAGAGGGGAAGAAAAATAAAAAAAATCTATATATTATTTTTTTCTAAAACACATGCGCGTTGAAACCACCGCCAGCCCCACCCGGCGGCTAGCGGAAGGCGGGCGGGGCGCGCACCCGGGATTTCCATTCCGCTCCCACCCGAGCCCGACCGCGCCGCGCAGCAGGCCACCCAGCGGAGCCGCCCCCATTAAAAACGAGGGCCTGGCCGCCGCCTCGGCCGCCCACTCCCACTACGCCTCTCCTCTCCTCTCCCCAGCCTCCACGCCGCGAGGGTGACGGAAAGCGACGCGGCGCGGCGCGAGTGCGAGCGAGGGAGGCACAGCACTAGGACCCTCGTTCGCCGCCGCCTCCGATCTCCGCGAGGTACCTGCCTCTTCCCCCGCTCTCCCCTCGTACGCCTCGGTGGTTTTGTAGGGTGGTAGGATCTCTCTCCGCCCTCCGGCCGGCGTTCCACCCTAGGTGGTGGGGTGTTTGGTCTGGCCGCTCGACTCTCGGGGGTCTAGTGGATGGATGATGGGATCTCGCGTTCTGTTCTCCAATTTTTGGGTTTCGTTAATCCCTAAGAAGAAAAAAATTACTGCTACGGGGCGCTGTTGCGTGGGTCGCTTGAACCGCATCAGATTTCGGTTATTTCCGCATGTAATTCCTTCCCATCTTGAGGAGAAAGTAGATGCTGGAGAACTTTGAGATTTTCTATCCTGGGGTGGTGGAATTGGGGGTTTATGGGAGGGGCCGTTAAGGGGCTGTGCATCTCCAGTGAACCCCTCTCCTGGTTTGGCAGTTCTTCGCCGGGGAACTTTTTAAAAAAAATAAATCATCAAGCGGATTGTTCTGTGAAGTTTCGGCAGAAGAAATAAAAGTTTACTGATTCCCCTGGAGCTTCAAGTGAAGGGCGGGGAGCATTAGCGATGCCTGCCTTTTTCATACCGCTCCGTAGATCAACCTACCCCTTCTCATGGAGGGGATGGATTGCATGTGCCCATTCTCCTCCTTGGTAGCGATACCACTGGGATACATCAGCAGGTGCGTGTTTGTGTGTCTATGTGTTAGTAGTATTACCTATGCATTGTGAACAAATAGAGTCGGTTTATGACGTTTGAGATTTTTGACCAGGAGATGGATTTGGTATTTATGGGAGCATGTTGATCTGTGCGCATGTTCAGTGAACCTCTGGTAGTTCTTGTCCAGGGGATTTTTACAATAAATCATCTATCGGATTGTTCTGTGAAGTTCGGCAGAAATAAATAAAAAGAACCTATGTGTGGTTTACTGATTTCCCTGGAGCTTCAAGTGAAGGGCAGGGAGCATTAGCTATGCCTGCCTTTTTCATACCGCTCCACAGATTAACCCTGCCCCTTTAGATGGAGGGAATGGATGGCATGTGCCCGTTCTCCTCCTTGGCAAAGATACCATTGGGATACATCAGCAGCCCATGTGTGCCTCTATGAACTGGATTAGTAGTATTACTATGCGTAGTGAACAAAGGGATTGGCTTATGAAGCGTGGCAGAGGAAGCATGACTTTATCTCATGTCTTTGTGTGGATATTAAATTGGTCGTTGCTCTGTAAATCTAGGTAATTTTCGTGCCAATGTCAGTAATTTGTTTAAAAATGGTATTTTGGTTCTGATTATCTGGAATCAAGCATGGCACTGTATGACTTTCAGTGTCAATTATTTGTTACTCTGCTGCAAGCTTTTCCTGTTAGTGTCTGGCAAGATACTTTTTTATATCTAGATGCCTGAGAATAGCTTCCTGGTCTCAATTGTTGCTTTGTGTTTTATAAGGAAAGTGCGATAGTTCCGTAGTTGCTTAATTTAGGCCAAGGTGGTTTTGATAACTGACCATGTTCCTCCCCTTGAATTTGAAGGTTGCCAGGTTTCAAGATGTCGACCAGCACATTTGCTACTTCCTGCACGCTGTTGGGCAATGTTAGAACACAGGCCTCCCAAACAGCGGTGAAGAGCCCTTCATCTCTAAGCTTCTTCAGCCAAGTTATGAAGGTTCCAAGCCTGAAGACCTCCATGAAACTCGATGTCTCTGCGATGGCTGTCTACAAGGTGAAGCTTGTCACTCCTGAAGGTCAAGAGCACGAGTTTGATGCTCCAGATGACACCTACATCCTTGATGCGGCCGAGACTGCCGGTGTGGAGTTGCCATACTCGTGCCGTGCTGGGGCTTGCTCCACCTGTGCTGGCAAAATTGAGTCTGGTGCGGTTGACCAGTCGGATGGATCCTTCCTTGATGACGGGCAGCAGGAGGAGGGCTATGTGCTGACATGTGTCTCCTACCCAAAGTCCGACTGTGTCATCCACACCCACAAGGAAGGTGACCTGTACTAGGGCTAGGGCTTTTCAATTTGGCAAGGGACCAATTGCTCTCAAGTATGTTGTCAAGCAAGCTCCATCTGCCCTACCAGTTGTGCGAACTGTTTGGCATCAAACTTTTGTGGTTGCTGTCTTCTATGTCCTGCTAGTTTATGTTCGGGGTCGGTGCATTAACACCCTGTTCGCTTGATGGGAGGAGGGGGTTGGTATGGTGACGTGTGCTCTTGTTGTTCCGTGGTCTATTTTGATGGAGGGATGTGAAACATTAAAATTTGTTTGGCCCACAATGGTTCCGTTTGCATCGTTGAAAAAACAAGCCGAAACACTGGTTCGGTTGATTTGTTGTGAGAGAAAAACACTGTTTCGGCTGAAAAAACAAGTTGAAAAGTACGGATTATAAGAGAAGCGAATAAGTCGAATGTTTTACCTAAAGTTAGTTGATGCTGGCGAAAGGATCTTTTTTTTTCGTGACTTCTATGATTAATAGGAGGGCATACAAATATGGGTTGAATTGGGCTCAGACAAATATGGGTTGAATTCAGGGCATCTATACATCAAATATTGGGAACCCATGGGAATACTAGCTAATCAATAAAAAACTGATGTGATGACATAATAGTATAATTTAATGGCTTTTTGTTATGTTTGGAAAAGTGTTGAAGTTATTGATTCTGAATGTCACTGCGGCATACTGGCACCCGTTTAGTTCCAAACACTTCTGTCATGTGATACCTGTTTGCCAAATTGTAGCGTGTTGTTGCTTGGTCTGGATGCACGCGCAACTGCGTACGGATGAGAACAAAAATGCATGACATGCTGAGCCACAACGACCGAAATTCAGTTTTGCGTGAAGACATGCTTTCTGTGCCAAGAATCTTGAATTTCTCATTGAGCGGGGATGCTGAAGGCAACAGCTCGCTCGTGTCATCTCTGATAGCGAATGCTTTGGTAGGTGGCTGATAGCACTTAGCAGTGGCAGATTTGAACTGGTGGACTGCTTGCGTTTGGATCTTGTCCTGTCTAGCCCAGTTGAGGAGGACTTGGGCCCTTGTTGTCCTGCCTTGGAGTTGCACTAACGACGGCAATTCACATGACCTAATTTTCCTTAACTAACTCAAAATTGATTCATTTCATGTGCTGTTATATTTTCCCAGATTTGATTCATTTTCTGTGCCGTTATATTTGATGATATCATAGTTATACGGCCACAAATAGGTAACTAGAATTTAAGAGAACATAAAAAACTGTGAACTTAATACCATATCGAGTCTTCTGCCCATAGGGAAAACGACCAAATAGCCAATAGTGTATGCAGATATTGATAGATACATAGGTAATGTTACGCACAGATGACAGAACAGCTGTAGCCAAAACCAATACATTGCTCGCACACTAGTATCGACATATCACTGGAAGCAGCACCATCTGGATCACTAAAGCAGGGCATTTGAAAGGCAAATGCTTAGTTGGATGTACTCTTTCCCTCATGCAATCATGCTCGCAGAAACTATATGTACTTCACAAAGACACTCAATAATGCAGATCTCAACAGCTTGACACACTACGAAAGGCGTGGCTGAAAGCTCAGAAGCATTTTCGGTGGACGATAGCAGGGCCAGATTCATCATACTCTTCCTTGGATATCCACATCTGCAACAGGAAAATGATTGGAGTAAGAAGCCTATACTGTGAGAAACAATACTTCAAAATTGAACGGAAATTAGTTCGTATTCATAACTATGGCAACAATCAAAATCACTGGAACATTGCCATTCACAATTTACTGATTTAGATGTGTTCACATGCACTTGTCAATTTGGTTGATTGTTGGTTTCACTTAAAAAAGGAAGATGGTCAAAAGGCACCTAAGAAACCATCTCCATGATAAGATCATAAATGCTATGACAGCAAGGAAAGGGCCATGTTAGTAAGTACCTGCTGGAATGTGCTGAGCGAGGCAAGGATTGAACCACCAATCCAAACACTGTATTTTCTCTCTGGAGGCGCCACTACCTTGATTTTCATACTGCTCGGTGCAAGGGCAGTAATCTCCTTGCTCATCCTGTCAGCAATGCCAGGGAACATGGTTGTTCCTCCACTGAGAACGATGTTGCCATACAGATCCTTCCTGATATCAACATCACATTTCATGATAGAGTTGTAGGTGGTCTCATGGATGCCAGGAGCTTCCATCCCAATCAGCGACGGCTGGAAAAGCACTTCTGGGCATCTGAACCTTTCCGCGCCAATTGTGATGACCTGCCCATCAGGCAACTCGTAGCTCTTCTCGACAGAGGAGCTGCTCTTAGCAGTCTCGAGCTCCTGCTCGTAATCAAGGGCAACAAAGGCCAGCTTCTCCTTTATATCTCTTACAATTTCCCGTTCTGCTGTTGTAGTGAAGGAATAACCCCTTTCTGTGAGGATCTTCATTAGGCAGTCAGTCAGATCACGACCAGCAAGATCCAACCTAAGAATAGCATGAGGAAGCGCGTATCCCTCATAGATTGGCACAGTGTGGGTCACACCATCACCAGAATCAAGCACAATACCTGCACAAGAGTACAAGACATAGGTAGTAGAAAAAAGGGGTCAGATCGCCAATGACGAGAATCAAAGATGAAGTCCTAGAAAAACTCATCAGTTAATAGGTGAAAATGAACACGTGCCTGTTGTGCGACCACTGGCATATAGGGAAAGAACAGCTTGGATAGCAACATACATTGCTGGTGCATTGAATGTCTCAAACATAATTTGGGTCATCTTCTCTCTGTTTGCCTTTGGGTTTAGTGGTGCTTCTGTCAGCAGAACTGGATGCTCTTCAGGAGCAACACGCAGTTCATTGTAGAAGGTGTGGTGCCAGATTTTCTCCATATCATCCCAGTTGTTCACAATACCATGCTCAATGGGGTACTTCAAGGTCAAGATACCTCTTTTTGACTGTGCCTCATCACCAACATAGGCATCCTTTTGGCCCATTCCAACCATCACACCCGTGTGGCGAGGGCGGCCAACTATACTAGGGAACACTGCTCTGGGCGCATCATCGCCAGCAAAGCCAGCCTGCAGAGAGGAGAAACATAGGCTGCTTATTCTGCAACAACTCCTTTTACAGGTTTCAGAGATTAATGAATGAACAGATAGAATGAGCATCGAACCTTGACCATTCCAGTGCCATTGTCACACACAAGTGGCTGGATATCCTCACCGTCAGCCATTGATCAGCACAGACAATCTGAATTCAGAGACCATCTCAAATATTCACTTGTGAAAGCACAAAATTTTGGACCTAGTTCATGCTAGATGGCTTGGAAAATTAAGTTAAGATTGATAAGGGAAAGACCATATAATTTTCAGGTACATGATGACAATTAAGAGCAATTTGTGATAGCCAAGTAAAAGGAATGCAAGGTTGTATTTAGCAGGCCTTAGGTCAAGTTGCAGCAAGATTATTACCATTAATGAATCTTTGAACAAGGACCAGCTGGTAAATAGGACTAACGACTTGGAAAAACATATCACACTGCGATCAATCATAAAGTGGATTCATTAAGCTGGCATAAGCTGTCCTGTCAGGCAGAGACATGGTCACTTGCTCACCCATGTGCTACTGAGCCTAACAGAAATGAATAAAACTACAGCTGTACTGGATCAGAATTATTGCTGTTGCTGCACATCCAGCCTATAGCTGGATAATTCATTTAGCCGTAGACGATGGGAGTCTAAAGTCAGTGTGCCAGCAAGAAGTCAGTAGTGGCGCCCATCATTCCGATTCCAGCTAGCAAAAAGTTATCAACTGGATTGTTTATGCCAAAATGAAAGGGGGAAAAACAATAGCAAGGCTGTTTGACAGATTGAGCTGTTTAGACCAAGATAACCTGACACAGATTCAGGTCAGGGTTAGCAGTATTTGACATGAAGATACATATTTTTATTAGTTAGGATTAGGAAAAGCTAAGTAAGGTTTGCCCAATAAAAGCTCAGTAAAAACCCAGTTAGGCCGCCAAGAAGATCACAAGTATGAAGCACTGGGTGGGATCTAAACCAACCCGGCCTCAAGATTTACAGAAACTATTGTAGGCTAACGGCCATTCACACGATTAGCAAAAACATCCAACTGAAAACATTTAAGTCAATTCATTTCCCACGAGTATCCTCCAAGTAACCGACTTGGCACACCAAAACCAGCACCATGATATGAGATCTAGGAGCATGCACCTCCACCGCATATCAAATCCATTTTTGTTCCCGAGGATCCGGGTATGACACATGAAATTGTACTACTTTTTTCCCCTCTTAATCGAAGGGGGCGGAAAACACTAGCTAACACGTACTGCTTATTACAGGATCCGATCAAGCAAGCAAGATCACTGCTGCATATTCGGACATACTGCATAAACTCTTCAAGAATTGCAGTTACGCTGGCTCTAATAACGAAGACCGATCCAGATACAGATGCAATCGCACGCTAGGACTGAGAAGAAACCGCCTCTAATCTAATCTAAGACTAAGAGAGCAAAGGCACCTCTCAGGGCATGGTAGGATCGCTTACCAACAGAAGGATGGAACCGAACCAGACAACCAGTCGATGCACAAATCGACAGCACTTAGAGAGGAGCAGCAACTGTGGACGGCAGGAGCGAGCAGAGGTGCGGTCGGTCGGTGATGGATCCCGACGGGGAGAGCCGGAGAGGAGACAAGGAGGGCGCTGCGGTGAGGTGTGCGGTGTGCCTGCTCTCCTCTGCTCTAGAAGGGGAGAACGCCAGAACGGCGTCCATTTCATTTATAGGCGCGGCGACAGTTAGCAGAAAAGGCACGGGGGCAAAGCCAAAATTCAGGCGAAAACCATCCAATTTGACCGCCGTTTTTGGATTCTATAACTGCTTCCAAACAAATTGAGGCCGAATTTCCTACTCATGTGGCCGTGTGGGCAAGATATAGGTTGCTGCCTGCTGTAGATTTGTGAAGCAAACACCTCACAAGGCCTTTTTTGCATTATTACATGTTCGCATCACGGACTTTGTTAACAGGTCGATCACCACGATTTTAGCCCTGTGTACGGGGGGGCGGGGTGCTCGTCCACCTCACACACTTCCTCTCCCTCTTTCACTTCTTTTTTCTCTAGGAGCTCCATGGGTTTTACGCTAGTAGAAGGGGCTCTATGAGTTTTTCTAGCGCGGGGATTCACTCATGAATCCAGTTATGTTGATTTCGAGTTTTCTTTTTGCTAGTACTATTGTACATTTGGTTTACTGTCCTACCATCAAATACAATTAGTTAGTGTTTAATTGTCCGTAGAACTACCTATTGCCAAACACTATAGCACCTAAACTGGTGCATGAAACTTTTTAACAAAATTATAGATAGAGAATACAATAATTTATGTCCAAGTAGTTTGAGCTCGAACAAAAACTTGTACAAGGAGAAATGTCAAAAGAAAATTGTATCTTTTATTTCTTTTTTATAATAAGAAACCAACAATTGAATAGTTGCGGTAGCGTGTGTCCGATCCACAACAAACAACTATCCATATAGGTATACTTTGTTCTTCTTTCTTGCACAAGTTTCTTTTTATTCAAATTTAAATTTTGCATGCACACATAGATAGTTGCACCCTTGGCGGCTCTATCCATCCTCTTTGTGCGCAACAATTTTTCATAAAACCAATTTAGATGATACTCCTCTATTCTAAATTATAAGACGTTTTTACTTTTAGATATATTGTTTTTATTATACATCTAGATACGGTGCATAGCAAAAGTCATAAATCTAGGAAAAGCTAAAACGTCTTTATAATTTGGAACAGACGAAGTACCATATTTGATAATACGGCAACAGTAAACACATCTCAATCTGCAACAAAAGCAAGCTTTTGCGTGCTCTTCAAATAAGTACTTCGCACGAAGAAATAACCACCTCGACTATCTATCGGCAATGACTGGTGATGATCATTAAATTTCTTCGTGCTAAGTATTTTAAGAGCACGCAACAACTTAACCATATAGTAGATAACATCACTGACACGAAGAAGTCAAAAGTTTCATAAAACATTTTTAGCATGCCAGAGGAAGAGCTGCGGTGACCAGCGAGCTTAGGCAAACGATGTTCCATCACTCGCTATTTTTATTAGGAAATATAAACGCCTCGATCGACCAGATCGATGTTCAGAACTAGAAGGATTTCATGGAGGCGAGCCGAAACGCGAGGTCCACTTCGTACGGGATGCCCGTCTCTCTTGTCAAACTCCTCCGAGACGTTGCCCCCGTCTGCATGTCGAGCACAAAGCGGGAACCACCAAAATCAAAATGTAAGAACACCGCGCCGCTCCTCTGATCGCCGAGGAAGCTCTCGAGCTCGACCCGAGGATCCATCCATGCCTTCAGCCCCAGCAGCGGCCCCCACTCCTCCATCATGTCGATCTCCACAGAACCCAAACGGACACCGTGCACTGGCGCGTGGCGACGAAGCTCAGCTTCCCGTCCGGCGACGACGCCAGCTGGGACGACGACGATCTAGACCCTCTCGGCGTGCTGGCACGCTGGCGGTTTTTGGGGATGTCGACTGCTCCCACGGCAGCCGCGTCCACGTCGTAGGTCAGGATGTACTCGCTGACGTCGTCCTCGCTGAGCAAGCAGGCGCCGCGGGCGTGCATGAGCCAGTGGACGACGACGACGAGGATTGACACGTAGAAACAAAAAAGTTCAATGAAACATCTTTATGTCACCGACGCACACAAGATGGCTGATGCTGGCGACAAGTCGACAGGCTCTCAACCTGAAAAAGAGGCAGGAGCGTCGGCTGAACCAACTGAAGACCCGGCAGGCTCTGAACCTGAAAAAGAGGCGGGAGCGTCGGCGTCGACTGAGTCAGCAGGAGGAGACTTGGCGGGCTCTGAACCTGGAAAAGAGGCAAGAACGCCAAGAAGCCCAAGGCGGAGAAGTCAGGCCACAAAGGCCAATCCAAAGGTAGTTGAGCCTGATTGGATATAAGCCCATGTAACAGGTTGAGGAGGCCTAAGCTTCTGAGCGGGCTCCTTTGTAATAGCGAGAGAGAGAAGGAGAACTCGAACTGGAATAAGATTGAAACTGAGCCTGAGGGCGTCGGCAGCGAGTGCGGCGATCGCCGGCGACTCGAGAACCTGTAATTCCGTTTCCAACCCAGTTATCTAGTAGATTCCAGTAAGAATTTGGTATCAGAACCCCTGATTCTGGCGCCATCCATCCACCACCACCACCTCACCCCGAGCGGACCTCAATGACGTCGCCGGAGGAGCAATTTGGGCAGATTCTCGCCCTGTTGAGCGAGAACTCCAAGGGGATCATCGATTTGAAGCTGTCGATGTCCGAGATGAAGGGCGCCAAGGCGGATCTCGAAGCCTGGAAGCCGAAGGTCGACCACCGCGTCTCTGATCTGGAGGTTGTCGTGAACCACCTCGGTGAGCGCATCGAGAAGCTCTACAACCACACCGTCCACTCCGCCAAGTCGCTGATGCTCGGAGATGGAGAAGTGGAGCACTCCGATTCGGATCCATCCAAGTCCGGCGGAAGTGTGGTGTCGGATTCCGCTCAACTGGGACCGACCCCGTCTGGAGCGACATCAGAGCCAAGTGGCCACCACGAAGAACCTCATCACCGGAGTGCTGGGTTTGGGATGGTTTACACCACCCTTACTCCAACTCCGGTCACAGGTGCGAATCAGAACAAAACTCATAGCTCTCCTCCTTTGGGTTCTGATGATCCTACATCTCGTGATCGGCATATGATATCCCTACTCAATTCTGCAATGCCTAATGTTGCTTTTCCCCAATTTGATGGATCAAACCCTAAGCTCTAGATCAAAATTGTGAAAACTACTTTGAGGTTTACTTGGTAGAATCCAACTCAGGTCCAGATATTGCCACCATGAACCTCAATAGTTCAGCTTCTCTTTCAGTTGAGACAGGTCCAACTCATTCATTTATTCCATGTCGTGGGCTGATTTTTCTGCTACCATTTGTGCTCGATTTGATAGGGATGAGCATAACCATTTGCTTAGGCCATTCTTCCATATCCGCCAGCTTTCTAATGTTATAGAGTACATTGAGCACTTTTGTGACCTCACCCACCAAATCCTAGCTCATGATCCGAGCCTTCCACCATCTGTTATCACCAATAGATTCATAAATGGTCTTAAGAAAGAAATCAAAGCTATTATTATGGTTCATAGGCCACAAGATCTA